TCAGCCTTCCTGCTCCTATGATGCTGCTTGGCCTGCTGTGTTCATCCAGCTCTACACCTTGTTATCTCAGATTCTCCAGCGTCTGCAGTTCCTACTATCTCATTAATTAGTCAGGTTGGCTTTCGCCCATGAAGCCCATTCTTAAGCAACTTTCCACATTAGGTGTCAGGAAGTGCTAGCTGTACTGAATCAACTTGTTTAGGAGAGCGAGTAGTTCTAAAACATGTCTTCAGTGCACTTGTTGGAATTTTGGCAGGGCCCATTGTGCTTGCAGTATCTAATGCCTTCAGACTTTTGCTTGGATGAATGCAGCTCCAATGAAACTCAAGAAGCTTGACACAACGCAGGACAAAGTAGACCACTGGATTCACAAAACATCTTCAGATCCTTCACTGCTGATGCACAGTAGCAGCAATGTATACTATTTATACGATACTTGGAAAAAAAATCCACCAAAGCTCTTAAGACAGCACCTTCCAATCCACAACATAATATAAATTATGGTGGGCATTGATAGGGTAGACAGGCAAAACCTTTCCTTCTTGATGAAGTGATTAATAACCATGGGGCATAGGTTTAAGATAAGGGGCAAGAGGTTTTCAGGGGATGTGAGGAAAAACAGTTTTCAACCTAAAGAACGGGTGGCAATCTGAAACTCACTGCCTTTAAAGATAGTTAAGGCAGAAACCCTCATAACATTTAAGAAATATTTAGATGCACACTTGCAATGCCAAGGCATACAAGGCTATGAGCGAAGTGCTAGAAAATGGGATTGGAATAGTTAGGTGGGTTATTTTTGATGAATGCAGATGCAGTGAACCAACGAGCCTTTTTATTGTGCTGGAGATCTTTATGACTCAATGACCCACTACCATCTTGAGCAACAATGGCAACAGATGTATGGGAACACCACCACCTGCAAGCTCCCCTCCAAGTCTTTCACCATCCTGAACTGGAAATATATCACCGTTCTTTCAGTGTCACTGGGTCAAAATCTTGGAACTCTCTCCTGAACGCCATTTTGGGTCTACCTACAGCACATGGACTGCAGCGGTTTAAAAAAAGGGCTCACCACCACCTTGTCATGCGTAACGAGGGATGGGAAATAAATACTAACCCAACCAGCAATGCCTACATCCTGTCAGTGAATAATAAAAAATTTCTTATTATATGTGAAGTGGATTGTATTGGTTGAAGACTGGCATTTTTGATGCTGGAGCCCTCAGGTGGAGGCAGTGATAGATTATCCCCTTGGCACCTATGGTTGAAGATGGTATAGATGCTTCAGCCTTGTCTTTTGCAGTGTTATGCTGGGTTCCCCATCATTGAAGATTAAAATAGTTGTGAAGCCTCATTGTCATGTCGGTTATTTAATTGTCGATCACCATTAATGGCTAGATGTGGTCAGACTGCAGAGCTTAGATCTGATCTGTTGGCACTGAAACCTCTTAGCACTGCCTATTGCATACTGCTTTGCTGTTTGGCATGCAAGTAGTCTTGTGCTGTGGCTTCATAGGTTGACACCTCATTGTGCCTAGTACTGCTTGTGGCATGCCCTCTTCTATATTCTTCACTGAACTAAGATTGGTTCTCTGATTGAAGGTATTGATAGCAAGGTGGAAATAACGGGCCATGAAGTGGTTGATTGTGGTTGAATGCTGTTCTGCCCTGCTAATGGTCCACAGCACCTTATAGTTGTCCAAATTTGAGTTGCTAGATCCATTTGAAATCTATCCCATTTAGCACAGTAGTAATGCCACACAAAATGATGAAGAGTATCCTCAATGTGAAAGTGGGACTTCATCTCCACAAGGACTGTGCAGTTGACAGTGCGGCTGTTGAGAAAGATGTTAAGTATTGTTTTCATTCTTATTGGCTCCCTCACTACTAGCTACTGGGTTGCTGCCCCAGTTTAACAGCTGTTGAAAGGAACTTGGCAACTAATAACAAAGGATATGCCAGTTTTTTATCTACTCTGCTTCCTTTTCAATGTCTATTTCATTTGTTGTGTTTGACTGCTGTGCCTCCAGTGGTAGCACCCGAAGACCTCTACACACAGAGTTTCAACAATAGGCTCTGAGGAAGTTCTGAGGAAGGGTCACTTGATCTGAAACGTTAAATCTGATTTCTATCCACAGATGCTGCCAGACCCGCTGAGCTTTTCCAGCAATTTCTATTTTTGTTTGTGATTTACAGCATCCGCAGTTCTTTCCGTTTTTATTTAACATTATTGTAATTATGGTTTCGTTATCACAGTGCACAATTCTGATTTCTACTCTGGATCTAAACAGCAGTGCAATCATTCCAAACGTTTATGACGTATTAAGTCTGTTCAGTCATGAGAAGAAAAGTCACAGTCTGTTTGTGTCTCAACATTGCATGCACATTTTCCAATGAAGTTCCATCGACATCAAATATCTGGCCCTCCTGAAAGATTCTATAACAATATCTATCGTGTTTATGTAGCCTGTAACTAAATGCTAACATGCATAGGCTGTATCTTTTTAATTATGAGAGACTCTTCTAGTTAGACCAGGAAGGGGTTTTCCTCCCCGACACTAGACCCTGCAGTTTTCTGCATTCAAAGAGGATGGTGGCAGCAATTTTCATCACAAACAGCAACTCGTACAACACAGTTTATCATAATGCATTATACTAATATTGTTGTCTGCAAACTTCCAGTGACTCTATAGGGTTTATAGTGTTGCATGTTTTAATGTATTTTCAGAAGTATATAATCTTGAACAACATTCTTGTAATAAAAATAGAAATTGCTGGAAAAGCTCAGCAGGTCTGGCAGCATCTGTGGATAGAAATCAGAGTTAATGTTTTGAGTTGAGTGACTCTTCCTCAGAAATGGGGAAGTTCTGAGGAAGGGCCGGTCGATCCGAAATATTAACTCTGATTTCTATCCACAGATGCTGCCAGACCTGCTGATCTTTTCCAGCAATTTCTATTTTTGTTTATGATTTACAGCATCCGCAGTTCTTTCGATTTTTATTTAACATTCTTGTAATTATAGTTTCGATATCACAGTGCATCATTTTGATTTCTACTCTGAAGCTAAACAGCAGTGCAATCATTTCAAACGTTTATGACATATTAAATCTGTTCAGTCATGAGAAGAAAAATCACAGTCTGTTTGTGTCTCAACATTGCATGCACATTTTCCAATGAAGTTCCATCGACACTTTGATTGTTGCATCTTATGACCCTCCCCATCTCTCATTTACTGCTTTGTACCTTAATTGACAGATGTAGGTTTTATGTTGGTTGCCATCACCTTTGCAGGAATATGCGCAGTCTTTAAATGTGGCATCTCATGAGTCTAATCTGAATTCTGCATCTTGCACACAGGTGTTGATGTTTTCTGGGGAAGAAGATCGTGCTGCTTTTATGGTAGATTTGAAAGCACACCTCCAAAAGGATGGCATAAATCCTCTGATTCATGAAGTGAAAGAACAGACGCTTTTGAAAGAAGCGGTGACAAAGCAGCAGCGGATTAAGATCTTAGATACCTTTTTCCGCCGTGTATTTGCACAGGTACTGTTCCAGTTATCAGTTTGATAATCTTCTTGGTCATGCACAGCATTATATTTATTTGCATTTGATATCACAATGAAATGGATGTGCAGTTTCTCCAAAAGTCATAAGGAATTTTAAATCATGAAAGCTGTGATCATTCTAGTTAAAGGTGTTTGTCTTCATTAATGAAATCAGAAAATAACTTTGTTTTCGAAGTGAGAACAACTTCATTATGACAGGATGATGTCAGGTTTAATCCAATTTGGTAGTTTTACAAAACTGGCACATGCATTGGTCCAACACACTCCCAGCTGGTCTCTCACATTCAACATTCTCTAAACGTGAGATCATCCAAAATTGTAGTTAACGTCTTAACTCAAGTCATCTTCCTATCATTTTTACTCACAGATCTACATTGATTCCCAGTCAAGCAACATCTTGATTTTGAAATTTTCATCCTTGTTTTCAAATCCCTTTATGTTCCATCTCTTGCATTCTCTGTGTTCTCCTTTGGTTCCACAACTCTCTAAGATGTCTGTGCTTCTTTAATCCTGGCCACTTGTGAATTCCCAATTATATTCAATCTACTATTGGTATCCACACCTTCGGGCCTAAGCTCTGGAATACTATTCCTTAATTTCTTTGCCTCTCCACTTCACTTTCATTCATGAAAATACTCCTTAAAACCAAAAAACTTTTGGTTGTCTGACTTTGAGTCAGAGAGTCAAAGAGCATGAAAACAGACCCTGCGGTTGAACCAGTCCATGCTGAACATAATCCCAAACTAAACTAGTCCTACCTGCCTGCTCCTGGCGCATATCCCTCCAAACCTTTCCTATTCATGTACTTATCCAAATGTCTTTTAAATGTTGTAATTGTACCCATATCCACCACTTCCTCAGGAAGTTCATTCAACATGCAAAGCACACTGTGTGTAAAAAATTTTCCTCTCATCTTGTTTAAATCTCTCTCCTCTCACCTTAAAAATGTGCCCCCTAGTCTTGAAATTCCCCATCCAAGGGAAAAGATAACTACCGTTAACTCTATCTACACCTGTCATTATTTTATAAGCTTCTATCAGGTTGCCTCTCAACCTCCTACGCTCCAGTGAAAGAAGTCCCAACCTATTTCAACCTTTCTTTATAACTCAAACCTTCCATACCTGGCAACATCCTGGTAAATCTCTTCTGAACCCACTCCAACTTAACATCCTTCCTATAACTGGGCGACCAGAACTGGACACAGTATTCCAGAAGAGACATCACCAATGTCCAGTACAATATCAACATGACTTCCCAACTCCTATACCCAAAGAACTGAGCAATGAAGTCAAGTGTATCAAACACCTTTTTTACCACCCTGTCTATAAGTGATGCGAACTTAAAAGAGTTATGTACCGGCATCCCAAGGTCTCTCTGTTCTACAACACTCCCCAAGGCCCTATTATTAATTGTATAAGCCCTATCCTTGTTTGTTGTACCAATATTTTGATTCCTCCTTATGTGGCTCAGTGTCATATATTGTTGTATAAGGTGCCTATTCAGCAGTATGAGCGCATACACCAGACATGGACATACCAGACATAGCATGAAAATGCACTACACACTGCATGTTCACTAACTACATACACACCAGACACACATCCATCGCACATTATACTCAGTGGTTAGCAGTGCTGCCTCACAGCACCAGGGACCTGGGTTCAATTCCAGCTTCGGGTGACTGTCTGTGTGGAGTTTGCACATTCTCCCCATGTCAGCGTGGATTTCCTCCAGGTGCTCTGGTTTCCTTCCACAGTCCGAAGATGGGCAAGTTAGGTGGATTGGCCATGCTAAATTACTCATATTGTGTGGGGAAGTATAGGTTAAGTGTGTTAACCATGGGAAATGTAGGGTTACAGCATAGGGGAATGGGTCTGGGTGGGATGATCTTCAGAATTCAGTGTGGACTTATTGGGCCAATTGGCCTGTTTACACACTGTAGGGATTCTATGTAAAACTTCTTCTGTGTAAAACTTCATGTATACTCCCCACACTGTATTTACCCACATCTGCACATACGTGAGCGGCCTTTGAATACGGATCACGAAAACAATTTGCAGAAACAGTTGAATCAAGAACATTGAGGCATGGAAATTACTGTTAAGTGATCTTTAAGGATCAACAGTTTTTATGATGTTCTGCTTGTTAATTTAATGTATATGTTAAAGTTTTAATTGTAAAAAATTAAATAACTTCAGTAAACAAAAAGAAAGGCTACGCAAGTGTTTATCTGATAATATTGTCAGCAGAAATAATCAGGTTTATGCTTCAACTACCTTTATATTATGAACAGTATAAAATGGATTCTTCTATATTATCTTGTTGCCACATGTAGGTTCTGGAGATTGATGGTTCAGATGCTGGTGACTTTGATATTGAAAGTTCAAAGAAAGCTAAAGAGTCCCTAAAATGCGAGCTGACTACAGTGGAGTTTGCAGATGCACTGGGACTAAAGGAAAACTCTATGTTTGTCGAGCAGATGTTTTCTTTAGCTGACAAGGATGGAAATGGCTACCTATCTTTCCGGGAGTTTCTGGACATCTTTGTCATCTTGATGAAAGGTAATCCGAGCTCACGATGTGATGCCTAATTGAAACATCAGTTGGACGTTTGCTTTGTCTTGAAGGTATTGCCAGTTGACCAACAGAGATGCCAGTCACAAAGACAGGTCAATGAAGAAGAAGTCCTATACTATGGCATCGGCACATTCATATGTATCCTGCACACATTCATTCCTGCATTGTTGGAACTTCTCACAAAACAGATTTTTTTTAAGCTTACAGGGAGGCTTAATGTAAATGGCAGAAAGTTTGGAGGGGATGGGAGGAAAATTCTTTTTAATCTAGAGGGTGGTGGGAATCTGGAATTCCCTGCTTCTAAGGGTGGTAGAGGGAGAAACCGTCATAACAATTCAGAAGTGCTTGTGATGTCAAGGTATACAAGGCTACGGGCCAAGTGCTGGAAAATGGGATGAGAATAGTTAGGTGGTTGTTTTTGCCTGGTGCGGACGTGATGGGCTGAAGGGTCTTTCTCTGTGCTGTAGATTTTTATGACTCTATGATTCTAACTCCTTATTTGTTAGCTAAGCATTTTTATATATATATACTTAGATTAAACAGGCGAGTTACTTCAATGTCTAGGTACCCTGAAATGTACAAAGGAGTGACCAGAGCAGTGATTTTTCTTGCTTAACTCTGCCTTTGAGGAGTAGCATAAAGAAAGAAGTCTTGTATTTATATACTGTCTTTCAAAACAACCAGATACAGTCGATTCTGCTATAACTTGTGTTTCTTCAACACGAATTGGCTTTATTGCGATTGAAGAATTTAGACCGCTATTTGTAGAATGTGAACTTTCCTTACGTGTATTGGCTATAACGTGATTCCGGCCCCATTAGTTTAAATGGCGTGGCTATTGCATGATTTTCTTATAACGCAAGATCGTACCAGAACAGAACTATCATGTTATATCAGAACTGACTGTATCTCAAAGCAGTTCATAGCCACTGAAGTAATTTTGAGGTGTTGTTACTGTTGTTGTGTAGGAAACCTGACAGCCAAATTGCACAGAGCAAACTCCCACAAACAGCACAGTGATTGCGAGCACATTTTTTTTTTAAGTGTGTTTTTTGTTGGAGGAAAAATGTTGGCAGAGACATTGTGAATAATTCCCTGCTGTTTACATTAGTGACATGGGATCTTTCACATTCACCCAAGCAGGCAGATGCAGCCTTGCTTTAACATCTCATACAAAACAAGCACCCCCAGCAGTGTAACACTCCCTCATTGCTACCCTGGAGTGTCAGCCTAGATTTTTGTGCTTAAGCCCTGGTGTGTGACTTGAACACAGAACCTTATGATTCAGACAAGAGAATGCTAACATTGCCAGGGCTGTGAATGCCTTTGAGAACTCATTGGAAATCAGTTTCATCGCCAACTCAACCAGCTAAAGTTAGTGAGTTCTCATCATGGAACCAACTTGCTTTTCAGTCTCACAGTCAGAAGAAAATCTATGCATATTGCAGAAGACTTAGGTCATTTATGCAAAAGGTTTACAGCCACTGTCAATGAAGGTGAAAACTTAGTGGCTTTGACTGGACTTTCAAAGACAAGTTTCTGCTTTGCAGATCCCTATCTGGTTTTCATTGCTCTTTGAAAGGGAGTGAATGTACTTTGAAATGCCAGACAGGTCAACCTGTATCCAAAAAAATGACTGACGGCTCGTGTTCTGTTTTACACTCTTACTTAGAAGTGCCAACTCTGTGTTGTGCAGAAGCTAAAATCTGTTTTGTTACATACAAATATTTTGCCACATCACAAAATTATAGAACAGATTAGAAATATTAATGTGCAAATACAAAGATCAAGTTTGGAACAAGTAAATGGATTAGGCACACCCTCACTATTTTTCTTAGCAGTTTTAATTAATGCTTGTGAAAATGTTTCAATCCACACTTCCTCAACCCTAGACGTTAGAAGCGCATTGAAGGCTTGGTCATTGTTAAAATGTTAACTCTGATTTCTCTCCATAGATGCTGCCAGGCCTGCTGAGCTTTGCCAGCAATTTCTGTTTTTATTGTGAAGGTTTTGTCTCCTGTCATAGAAACCATTCAATTTTTCATTTCTATAGTGTAACATTTAACTATTTGATTTGTGTAGGTTCTCCTGAGGAGAAATCAAAGCTCATGTTTGCAATGTATGATGTAGATGGGAGTGGTTCCATGTCAAAGGAAGAGTTCTCACAACTGCTGAGGTAAATGAAATAAACTTTACTCACATTTCTTATTGTCCTTTATCCGGTGCACATCTGGACAGTACCTGTTGTACATTCACCAGTTTGCTATATATCTTATATTGTCTGTTTTAGCTCCAAATAAGCCAGAGATGATAATTTTTCTAAATCCAAATGGGCTTTATTATAGTACTTTGGAAATATCTTCAAACTTACAGGGTTTTAACACACATGGTCTTAACCCAGAATCCAGAAGCATTGTCCCTGTGGTTTTCATTACTTAACTCTCAAACCCCACAAATAAACTTAAGCAATCAACTAGAATCAGTAAGATTCAGTTCCCAGAATAGCATCATCAAACACTAGTCAATAGAACTATTGAACACTGAAGCATGTGTTGTGATATTATAAATGTTCTATTGAAGATTTTCTCCTATGTGTCAAATTCTGGGTGGTACACTTTCAGAAGGATCTGAAGGCATAAGTGAGAATGCAAAATTCACAGCACGGTTCCAGGAATGAGGAATTTTAGTTACCTCAATTGTTGCTTTTCTTAGAGAATAGAAGGTTGAGATCAAATTTGATAGAGGTATTGAAAATCTTATACCTGGGCAAAGTAGAGAGGGAGAAACTGTTCCCATTGGTGAAAGAATCAAGAAGGATAAAGTACCAGATTGAAAGTAAATGGCAAAAAAAATGTTAGGAGACACAAAGATGAGTATTTTCATGCAGTTGGTGGTTAAGATCTGGAAGCCTGGGAGTATGGTGGTGGCAGGTCAATTGGAACATTCAATATGGCATTGGATTATCATCTGACAGTGAAGTTCATGTACGGCTGTAGCAAAAACGTTGTGGCAAAAGGTGAATTGCTTGTGCAGATTGCTGGCACAACACAGTGGGCCAAAATGAGCTGCATTTCTGCTGTGGCACTTCTGGGATTCAGTGCCCCAGTTAAAGTAACCAAATAAGTAGGTTTTTCAGATAAAGAAAAGGAGACATTTTCTCAATAGTCTTGAAAGTGCTGCTACTGATAGCATGTAGGTTGGTGCATGGTAATAAACTCAAAAATATTATTTGAATACATCCAAACAATTTTGTCATCTTTTGTGGTCCCCTTATAAGTGAAGGGTACAACATGAGATTAGCATAGATCTGGCATCTCATGTTGATCCTAACCCTCACCCTCATCCTCACCCAGGAACTTCTGCTATTGCACTGTATCTGACCTTCATCTGGAAATGTCGAGTATTGGGACTTTGGTACAGATATTCCACGAAACAGACCAAACCAGATTCTGATGTTCGCCTCCACTTGAGCCAGTCAGCTACATCGCTTTCCCAAGAGAGGAGGTCTGCATTCCCTGTATCATTTGTACTAACCACCTTTATGTAGTTTGTCTTGAGACAGTACTCCATTGAAATCTGACTGGAGGATCTTTTTGTTCTTTAGATCTTTTGACTACAGAGCATTATGGATATTCTATCATTGATTATCTTTAAGGGCGATGTAGACTTTTGATCTCATTGAGAATCAAGCATATGGGGATCAGGCAAAAGAGTGGATTTGAGGCATAAGATCAGTAATAGTCATGTCGCATGATAGCAGAAACTTGAGGAGTCATATAGTCTACTCTTGCTCCTTATCTATTTTCTTCAGGCAATCAGCAATTGAGTATTATCTTGCCTGCAGAACTAAATTAAACAGACATCTAATGTAAAGGTCTTTTCCTGATTTGCTGAGAAAAATTAGTAGAGTCCTTGTATTGAGTGGAAAATTAAAACTCACGCAAGTACCATAATTTCTTTTTCCATTCGCTTTAAGGAAGAATTGTTTTCCTTTTAATGTTTTAGGTCTTTCATCGAGATCTCGAATGACTGCTTGCCAAAGGAACAGATAGAGAATATGATGAATTCAATGTTCAAACATGCAGGATTTGAAGATAAAGAGGAGATTATGTGGGAAGAGTTCCATTGCCTGTTCCGTGACCACTACCAAGAGATGGAACTTTCTCAGCCTAATCCAAAAGGTCGACAAACCTTTTAGACATTAAAGACCAGTGAATCCTATATTTCCAGATAATAACTAATAAATGCTTTGGCATTTTATAGCCACTATTATCAGGGTCTGTGTTTGGGGGCAGGTTCATTTAGGGTAAGGATTGGGCATGTTGCTGCAATCACCAAATCAATCAACTGTTATCTTTCCTTCCAATTAAATTCACCATATTGACTAATATTTTCCATGATTTGTCCCCCTGACGAAAGCTTTCTGTCTTTATTTGAAATAGGTAATTAGTTTATGGCAGTATCTATGAAGCAAGGAGCAGTTACTGTTTCAGGTCAATGCTTATTCATCAGACCCGTTTGTCAGAAATGTTAATGATATTTTTCTTTCCAATAATAATGCCAGATTTAAAAAGAAAATCATGAAATGTAAGGCCAGAATTCATTGTCAATTCTTAATTTCCTTTGAAAGGCTGGTAGTGAGACATTTTTTTGAACCACTGCAGATCCATAGGTGCACTCAACAATGCTATTATGGAGGGAGTTACAGGATATTGTCTGAATGATAGTGAACAAAGTGGCAACATGTGGAGGTTGGAAGCTGAGTACTTTGCAGCAACTGATTTCCCCAAGTCTGACCTCCACGCCCAAGGCACAAGTTAAGAATGTGAAGAATACTCCTTCTTTGGCGAGAAGAGTGCAGGTCCAAGATCACTCAAGAAGCTCAACACTGACCAGGTCAAAGAAGTCCACTTAATAGGTATCCCATCCACTCCCTTCAACATTCAGTCCCTTCACTACTGATACACAATGATGACAGTGTATACCATCTAGAACATGCACTGTGGCAATTCATCAAAGCACCTTTGATAGATCTCACAACTTCTAACGTATAGAAGGACCAAGTCAGCAGATGTTGAGGACACCACTAGCTGCAAGTTCCCCTTCAAGTCACGCACCATCCTAACTTGGAAATATATTGCCATTTCTTCAGCATTGTTTGGTCTAAGTCCTGGAAATTCCTTTTGACAGCATTGTGGGTGTAACTTCGCAGTACCAACTGCTTCCAATAAATAAGGTTGCTCACCACCACCTTCTCAAGAGCACTATAGGGGGATGAACAATAATTACTGGCTTCATCATCGGCACCCAGATCCCATAAAACAATTTAACTGATCCACAAGTAGAGGTAGAACTGAGGAGATCTGTCAATGGCGCTTCTACTAACTTGTTGCTTGGCACTTTTAAATTTCATATTGATTATTCATTTATCATTTCAGGTCCTGAAGGAAAGAAACTTGACAAAGCGAACCGCGTTTCTTTCATAATAAAGAAAAAGAATGAGTAAGTAAATCACAGACAATGAACGTGATCCAAAAGTGAAGTCCAAAATTATGAGGAGAGTTGACTGGACATACATAGGGAAAATGTTTTCACTTGTAATGGGGCCATGCTATGGCATACAAACTATAGACCATGAATTTAATTGAGTGACTAATAAATTCAATATCCAATTTAGAAGATTGAGCTTACTACTGCAAAGAGTGATTGAGGTAAATAACACAAATGCATTTAAGGGGAAGCTAGATGGGTGCATGAGAGAGAAAGATATTGCTATTTGGGTTAAAGTAGGTACAGATGAAGGAGGTTCATGTAGAGAATAAATATCAACATAAGCCTTTTGGATAAAATTGCCTAATTCTGTACTGTATATTCTTTATAGCAAAGAATACAGCCTGAAAGAATGATGGGCTGTCACCACCAGTAAAAATACAGTGAAACAGAGCCCAACTAAATTGTGGAAACTGACTGATTTACACAGTTGGTGGTTCATTAGGATGTATCAGTGGCACAAGTAGTTGAAGTTACAACATCCCTTTCATACCATCTAACTTGGAAATGTACCACTGTCACTGAATCAAAATCCTAGAATTCCTTTCCTAAGGGCATTATGGGTCTATCTTTCTTTCCTTGCTCACTTGTGGGATGTGGGCCTCACTAGCTGACCAGCCCTTTCCTAGTTGCCCTTGAGAAGGTGGTCGTTAGCTGCCTTCTTGAACTGCTGTAACTTGACCCACTATGTCCTTTGGGAAGGAATTCCAGGATTTTGACCTAGTGACAGTGAAGGAATGGCGATATATTTCCATGTCAAGATGGTGTGTGGCTTGGAGGGACCTTGCAGTTGGTGGTGTTCCTATGTATCTGCTGCCCTTGTCCTTCTAGATGGAAGCATTCATGGGTTTAGCAAGTGCTGTCTTCAGATCTTTGGTGAATTTCTGCAGTGCATCTTGTACCTACAGCATGTGGACTGGAGTAGATCAAGAAGGCAGCTTGTTGCCACTTTCTCAAGGGCAACTAGAGATGGGCAAAAATCACTTGCCAGTGACACCCACATCTCACAAGTGACTTTAACTCAACTTTAAGGTCTGACCTTGACCCATTCGTGTGAAGATATGGTCAATGCTCACAACTCAATATGCCTCTACTATTTTAACAATTTATCATACCACCAATAACGTATAAATGTCAGTACCCTGTATGACCAAAAGATCAGAAGATGTAGAAGCAAATGTAGGCCATTCAGCTCATCAAGTCTGTTCACTATTCAGTGAGATCGTGGCTGATCTGATGATTCTCAACTCTATTTCTTTCAATTTAAATCAAAACATTGTCCCCATAATTTAACTGCACTCACCCTCTGATTACTGAAGAGGAATGAGTGGCCATGTGTACAGATAGGTAATCCTGCTTCTTGTAACCTTGTGAGGTCCTGTCCTTCAGTTTAAACACAAATCACACCCTTGACAATGAATTGCCACTATCCCCTCTCATTTTTGACTGTCCCTGCTTCGCTCTTGCAATAATCCTACATCCTGCATTCGTGAATTCCGCAGTAACATATGAAGGTGTTTCAATGAAAGAGATTCTGGCTGAACAGCATCATCAGGTTGGGGAGTGAATTTCACTCTAATGAAATCATTGCTGGGATTAGCAATTCCACAGAACCAGACACAACCAGATGGCATGAAACAAAAGCAGAACTAGCTGAAGAAACTCAGCAGATCTGGCAGCATCTGTGGAAACACAAACAGTCAACATTTTGGGTCCAGTGACTCTTCTTCAGACTATTCTAAAGAAATGTCTGTGGATCTAAAATGTTGACTCTGTTTCTATTTAAACTGCTAACTTTCTCCAGCTATTGCTGTTTTTGTTTCGGATTTCCAGCATCCACAGTTCTTTGTTTTCTATTACACCAGGTAGCATAACTTCATCCCTACCTCCTTGACCTGTCCGTCTTCTCTCCACCTATCTGCTCCACTATCCACCTTGATTCATCGCCTCCCCTCTCTCTATTTATTTCAGAGTCCCCTTCCCCTCCCCCATTTCTGAAGAAGGGTCCTGACCCGAAACGTCAGCCTTCCTGCTCCTCTGATGCTGCTTGGCCTGCTGTGTTCATCCAGCTCCACACCTTGTTATCTCAGATTCTCCAGCATCGGCAGTTCCTACTATCTCAGCATAACTCATTAGCTGTGTGATACTATTTACAGACGTGCAGCTTCGCCAAAATAATTCACTGATTGAGATACACCATTTAACGAGACAGATGCATAGCTTAATACTAATATATTCAAGAAGTCACTATACTGTGTCTGGGTTTCATGCATTTTTTTGTTTCATGTCCAGTTCCACAGTTCTGTGCAAGACTTGACTAAAGTTTGACTATTGTCCATTATAAATAGCCTTTTTAATTTCCCAACACTGTCACACAATTTTAAATCCTTTTAAGTTAAATACGTTCTTATCTGGAGGATTGGCTGATGGAACAAGCTACCAATACTAAATCAGAGCGGGAGGGAGTCTCACCACTCTGATGATGGAAAACAGGGTCAGGAAGATACCAGCAAAAATGAAGCTTCTGCTTCCATGTCTTCCCAATAGAGCAACCTGGACTTTCGTAAAGTAATTATTACCCACCAGGATTGTTTACTTTAAGTGGTATAGGCCTTATGATCACAGCATGACTCACGCCTTATGTCAGCTTTCCACCAAGGCCCTGTGGAAATGAGTCTAGACTCACATTTCTTGAGTTAACCTGAGCTGTGCCCAGCACATCACTTCCTCTTGGCAGAGGGACAAGACAGATTAACTAAGTTTTCCCTAGCCCGATGGAAAACCTACCATTCATGTAAACAAAAGGACTCCTGACAAAACATGTCCAGTGCTCATTTTCCAGTTCGTATTATCTGGCACTCTGCCTCTGCTCAGAGAAAAGTTTAGATGCAAAGAACTGAACATTTGGTTCGATACATGGATTTTATTCATCACAACTGATCAGTTTAAAGAAAAAGAACTTCTTTTGTTTGTGATCTCTTTGTGCAACTTGGGGATATGCAGAACATGTTGCTTAATTCTCCAACCATTAACCTTATATTCCATTTCTAAGTGTGCTAAGAGATTGGACAATGTGCTGCACCTAATCTGGCATTCACCCCACTTATCTATTGCCACACCTGTTCACTGTTAGTAAACATTATCAAAAACTGGTTTCCACCAGGACACATCCATCTTCCTTGTTGAAGGAAGTCATGCAGAATTAAGCAGTCTTTCAGAAGAGGAGGACAGAAATCTTCAACAAAGTTTCTTTTGTACTCCCACACTTAATCTAAAAGAATGCTGTGAAACTTTGCCAAACTAAACGTTCTTTCAACTGCATCATGGCATCCAACTAAGTTTATCAGTTTAACTATATTGATTACATTTCTAAAGTGTACATTTGTAAGTTTCAGAGGTTCCGGGTTTAATCCTTGCCATGAGGCTCTCAGATTTGATGTGTTCTATATTTCACTCCGAACATGCCATATCTCAAATTTTAAATTTAACGTTGATCTCGCTCTTTGTGCACCTTCTCTGCAGCTGTACATTGTATTCCTCGCTCTGTTCTGTTTCCCTAAAGCACTTTGTATGGCATGATCTGCCTGTACTGCACGCAGAACAAAACTTTTCACTTTACCTAGGTACATGCGACAATAATAAATCAAATCAATTCAAATATATAGGGTACCCAATATTCTCATGACTAATGTTAGATGAAGTCTGAGCATGAGTTTGTGAAAGAGAGAAAATCATTAAAATAAAGTCACAGGCGTTCCTCATCTGTCTGAGCCTCAGGATATAAAAGATAATTATTTAAATATCATTGCTTGTCTGCACAATGTTATTCATAATAATATGTTATTTTCCAAATGTGTTATACATGGTAGGAAGGTGTCACATGATTCCTCTATCAGTGAGGCGTTCACCTGACAACTGTACTTCAGTAAATCAAAACATGTCATATCAAGAATTAGTAGCCTCCTTATTTGGAGGCAATTTGTTGTGAGTTCAAGGACTAGTCTGTAGACCCAACAGTGCAATAACGAGGGAGTGCTGTGCTGTTAGAGGTGCTGGTTTAGAGATGACTCATTAGTGCGACCTCAGTTGGCAATACAAGAAGAGATAAATGATCAATAATACTATTCAAAGCAAAGAAGGGATTCTCCAAGTGTACGGCCCACCACTCATTTTAACAAACACAGCACAGTAGATTAACTGAGACAACAAGGTGCAGGGCTGGATGAACACAGCAGGCCAAGCAGCATCATAGGAGCACAACAACCACATTGTTTGGGATCTCGCTTAGCATAATTCAAAGTCCCTATATTCCTGTATCACAGCAATTATACTTTATTCAATAGATAGGAAATGTTTTGGGACATTTTGAAAAGATGGTTGGTGCTATACTAAACCACATTCATTGTTCCTGTTTCGTAAAGGTGTTTGTGCTTCATGTTCAGTATTTTCCCGTATAAACCTAGTAAAGCTCGCTTAGATAACAGCTGGGGAAGTTGCTTTGACATGAGTTTGGGACCTAACTAAATTTTCCTTCAAGCCTCACAAACATCACTCTCTGACATTTTTCAGAGCATCAAAGAACACAGAAAACCAAAAAGAAACGAGCCCAGCTGAAACCTTGAGCCCGGATCATTTTGTCATGGATCTGCGTAAACGATTTGGCAAGAAGTAAGATGTGAAATACGATGTTAGCTAGATATTGCAGCCTTAGAAGCAAATCTTCACTAAATTTCAACTGGTGCAGTGGGGGGTGAAGAATAAAACCAAAGAAAAGTGCAGTGCTCCAAACACTATGGGATAACCTTCTCACTTTTCCAACAAGATGTAAATACAATTCTCATATTTTTTTCCCTTGATTATTTCTGTGTGAAATTTGGAGCATCTTTTGATTTACCTCGATAGCGATTAAAATCAAGTATCCAAGATATCAATAGGGAATAGCAGCCTAGCAAGTGAAAAATCCAAGGAATTGATGTTTATTGTCTCCACATCTTTAAAAAAGAAAATTTCCTTCACAGATGTTGGTTTTTAAAGTTGTTTTTTTCTTGACTGAAGGTGCTATCTTGCACTGGCGTAAGATATAATAAATGTTGCTTCTGAGAAGACATTCTACCCAGGCTTCTTGGGGTTTAGTGCTATTTTGAAGAAGATTAAGATTGTTCACCCTGTGCCCTGGCCAATTTTTATTCCTCAACCAAAACTGCTAAAACTCCGATTATTTTGTCATTATCTCATTCTATTTTGGGAAATTGCAGTGCACAAATTGGCAACTGCTCTTCCTACATTGAAAAGTGAACACATTTCAAATGTGCATCATTGTCTATAAAGTCATTGAGGCATACTGAGGGTATGAAATATGCTATTTAAATGTAATTCTTTCTATTCTATTCTGTTTGTGTTTCAAGATCTTCTCAAGTCATGAGTAAAGTCTATGCAGAACCAAAACGGGAAAAGTATATCAAAAATAAATTTCATCAGAAATATCAGGAATATAGACAATATATTCAAAATCATCAACGTCAAATATTTTCTGTGATCATCTTTTTTGGAATTACTGTGGGGGTCTTTGTTGAACGTGCCTATTGTAAGTACCATGATGTATTTGCGTAGCCAACCATTCTACAAATAAAAGACCATGTTACCATGGGAGCAGGAGGAGAATTTTATTGGGCCTTTTCAACTGCCCTGTCGGATTATGCCTAAATGTGCAATTTAACTTCATATGCCTCCCACCTGGGTCACAAAAAGAAATCTCAATTTTAAAATTTCAATTTGACTTTTCACCCCAGCCCCAGCCTCAACAATCCTTTTCAAGAGAGAATTTCAGACTTCCAGACCCCTTAGGTGAACAAATAACCCCTTGTTTTAATCATGAATGACCCAACTCTAATTTTAAGCTTACATCCCTTTTGTTTTGCATATTTCTGTGAAAGTAAGTAGTTACTTATCATTTGATAACTATACCCATCAAATAATTTGATAGTTTTTGGAGTTGGTGATGGCCTAGTGGTCCTATTGCTAGACCATTACCTGGCTAGGTAACAATCTGGGCTCGAATCCCATCATGGCAGATGGTGGAATTTGAATTCAATAATAATATGGAAAATAGTGTCTACTGATGACAATGAAACCATTGGAAAAACCCATCTGGTTGACTAAGTCCTTTAGGCGAAGTAATCTTCCATCCTTAGCTGGTCCAGCCTATATGTGACTCCAGACTCACAGCAATGTGGTTGACTTTTAACTGCCCTCTCCCCAATTAGGAATGGACAATGAATTCTGACATTGCCAGTGATGCCAACAAGCCATGAATGAATAAACAAAAATCACTCTCTAATAATCAATAGTCAAGTGAAGACAGACTGAGCCTTGCACAAGCCTTGGTATCATTCTATGAATCAGTGCTACATTTTCCCCAAGCCAACTATTTCTTTTCTGAATTGTGATAGCTGGAACTGATTGTGGTATTCCCCACGTGATCTGATCAAAGTTTACTATAATCTCGGGAGGAAAGCTAACATTCAATGAAACTTCTAACTATATTTTTGTATCCTTTCGTGAGATATGAGTGTTACTTCTATTTCTGCTGTTCCGTAACTGCCCTCAAGAAGTTGGTGATGAGCTGCCTTCCTAAATCACTGCAACTCTATGGGCTGGGGTAGGTACACCTGCGATGCTGTTAGGGAAAGTTCCAGGACTGGAATGCAGCAGCATTGCAGGAATGGAGATATAGTTGGAAGTCAGGTTGGATGTGACTTTAAGGTACAACTTTTCACACCTATCTGCTTTTTAAAACCATAAGATTCAGGAGCAGAAATGGGCCACTAAGCCCATCGAGAATGATCTGCATTCAACAAGATCATGACTGATCTAATAATCCTCAACTCCATGTTCCTGTCTTTTGGGCATTGCTGGTTAGGTCAGCATTTATTGCCCAGAGGGCAGTTAAGAGGCAACCACATTGCTGTGTGTTTGGAGTCATATGTAGGCCAGACCAGGTAAGGATGGCAATTTCCCTCCCTAAAGGGGATTAAGTGAACCAACAATGGAGTCTTAGACAGATAGACTCTGAATTCCAGGTTTTTTTGTTTTAATTACTGATTCAAATTCCACCATCTGCCATAGCAGGTTTTGAACCCAGGTCCCCAGAACATTAGCTGTGTCTTTGGATTAACAGTCCAGTGATAATACCACTAGGCCATCACCTCTCCTTCATTTGTTTCCCTTACTGATTAAAAATCTGTTTATCTCAACCATGAATATAATATTAACCAAGTATCTGTGGTAAAGAACACCACAGATTCACTACCCTGTGAGAGAAGAAATTTCTACTCAGTTCTGTCTTAAAATGTGCAAGCCCTTATTCTGAGATTATGCACTCTGGTCCTAGACTCTCTGACAAGGGGACACCCTGTCAAATCCATTAAGAATCTTAGAGATAGTAAGAACTGCCAATGCTGGACCACAATGTGGAGCTAGAGGAACACAGCAGGCCAGGCAGCATCTGAGGAGCAGGAAAGCTGACATTTCGGGTCGGGACCCTTCTTCAGAAATGGGGGAAGGGGAAGGGAGCTCTGAAATAAATAGAGAGAGGAGGGGTAGGGCTGGGGAAGGTGGGTAGGATTGTGATAGGTGAATGCAGAAAAGCAGTGGTGGAGATTGGTCAGTGAGGTGGGAGAGGCGGATAGTTCGGGGAGAAGATGGACAGGTCAAGGAGGCGGGGATGAACGGGAGATAGGTAGGAGAGAAATGGACAGGTCAAGGAGGCGGGAATGAGAGGGGCTGGGGAAGGTAGGTGGGATGGTGATAGGTGAGTGCAGGTACGCAGTGGTGGGGATGGTCAGTGAGGTGAGAGGAGAGGATAGGTGGGAGAGAAGACGGACAGGTCAAGAAGGATCGGTCATGGGTTGAGGCCGGGGATGGGGAGATTTTGAAACTAGTAAAGTCCACGTTGACACCAAATTCCGCCTTGATAAAGGAGCAGCACCTCATATTCCGCCTTGGGAGCCTACTACCCAATGGTCTCAATGTGGACGTTACTAGCTTCAAAATCTCCCCACCCCCGGCCTCATCCCATGACCAATCCTCCAACTTATCCCAACCTTCTTGACCTGTCCATCTTCTCCCACCTATCCGCTCCTCCCACCTCACTGATCAATCCCCACCACTGCGTACCTGCACTCACCTATATAGGTAGGAAAAGGGATGGGGACGTAAGGCAGAAATTCAAGGAGCTAGGGTGGAAGCTTAGAGCTAGAACAAACAGAGTTGTTATCTCTGGTTTGTTACCCGTGCCACGTGCTAGCAAGGTGAGGAATAGGGAGAGAGAGCAGTTGAACACGTGGCTACAGGGATGGTGCAGGAGGGAGGGATTCAGATACCTGGATAATTGGGGCTCATTCTGGGGTAGGTGGGACCTCTACAAACGGGATGGTCTACACCTGAACCAGAGGGGTACCAATATCCTGGGGGGGAAATTTGCTAATGCTCTTTGGGAGAGTTTAAACTAATTCAACCTGAATTGTAGCTCCAGTGTACAGGAGGTTGAGAGTAGTGAGGTCATGAATAAGGTTTCAAGGTCGCAGGAGTGTACCAGCAGGCAGGAAGGTGGTTTGAAGTGTGTCTACTTCAATGCCAGGAGCATCCGGAATAAGGTGGGTGAACTTGCAGCATCGATTGGTACCTGGGACTTCGATGTTGTGGCCATTTCGGCGACATGGATAGAGCAGGGACAGGAATGGTTGTTGCAGGTTCCGGGGTTTAGATGTTTCAGTAAGATCAGGGAAGGTGGTAAAAGAGGGGGAGGTGTGGCATTGTTAGTCAAGGACAGTATTACGGTGGCAGAAAGGAAGTTTGATGACATCTCGTCTACTGAGGTAGTATGGGCTGAGGTTAGAACCAGGAAAGGAGAGGTCACCCTGTTGGGAGTTTTCTATAGGCCTCCGAAAAGTTCCAGAGATGTAGAGGAAAAGATTGCAAAGATGATTCTGGATAGGAGCAAAAGTAACAGGGTAGTTGTTATGGGGGACTTTAACTTTCCAAATATTGACTGCAAACGCTATAGTTCGGTACTTCAGACGGGTCAGTTTTTGTCCAATGTGTGCAGGAGGGTTTCCTGACACAGTA